GGGGCAACCCGTCACAAGACAAGTACGCCAATCTCTCCCTCGTATTTCCAGATGGTCTGGCATTGGCACCAACATGGAGGAGTGTGTGTTTCGTCCCTTCACTCAGCCTTTTCCAGGCATCTCTGTGGTTCCATTTTATTTATTTGAGGCTCGTCATGTTGATTTCTCTATCGACAGTGTCCTGGCCAACTCCCTTCTTATTGCTACTATGATACGCCCTGGATTTTTACTCATGTGGAACGATGAGGGCATGTCCAGCGTTGTCTATCGACTGAATAGGGTCCTTAGGTAGTTTGGCATGGATCAGGGCATCCCACAAGCTCCTCCACGTCAAACTAATTTCCACTAGAGCTTTCATTAGTTTGCTCGTGATTATACCGCTCCACTTGTGGAGGGTTTATGCCTTATGAAGCTTCCCTCACTTGGGAGAGAGGGGGCCTTCACTCCCAGTATAGGCTGTTCTGGCACCACAACCTCAATTTTTTTCTTTAACTTTTGCAATAGTGATCTGGTCGTCCCTACGGCGGAACTTATTCCCCAACCCGTCTTATTCCTTCGTCTTCCCTCTGGCTGTGGAAATTAGACTAGTGTGTTTTGCTCTTTCAAGCTTCTATCCCTGCCTACCGTGGAGAAACCTTACCCATCTAGGGCAATGTCCGTTCAACCTTTGTAAATTGCTTATCCTCAAGTCGGCATTACAGTACGCATGACCTGCTCCAGATTGAGAACAGTCCAGGAGGTAGCGGCGTCAGTCGCTGAGGCTCACACGTCACAAAGCAGGAAAAGACTCCGGAAGGTACTCATACTTAGAAAAATACTCTACATTGTTTCATACTTCTTTAGGACATTTTATCTTCACTTAATAGTCACACGGCCTTCTTCTTGGTCAGGGTTTATTGGTCTCGGAACGAGGTACCATTTTGGCTATATCGTCTTCAGATCCCGAAGGTCCTTTGACTGCCATCCGCATTTCCTCAGATTCAGATGATGACGATGACCTTCCCATTGCTTCAAGGGTCACTAGGCTGAGAACTCGCAAAATGGTACCTCCAGATGATGAAAAGGAACCAAGTGCTGAGGCCGAACCAGCTGCAGCGGTTGAGCCCATTGCGAAGGCTGAGCCGGTTGGTGAGACTAAGGTTGTAGATATGGGGAGAGATCATGATGCCCCATTTGTTGAAAGTGAACAAGTTCCCCCTCCTATGGGAGTTGCAAAGGGTGTAGTTGTTGAGGGTGCAAAGCCCCCAAACCCTGTTGATTCTGCCCATTCTGCCCATTCCTCTGTCAATGTGTAGGATTTTGTCCTTGAGACCCGAAGGGAAGATCACGGCGTAAGAGAGCCGCTGGAAGTTCCACCACCTCTCTTTGAAACTGTATCTAGTGGTTCTTCCCAGTCCGCTGAGTCTCCATTGGTTCAACAGACCCCACTTCCAAACGTCCAAGTGGCTGAGGGGAGTGCAAGTGTAGCGGTTGCTTCCACTGTTCCTGATGTGGTCCCCCTAATTTTGGACCGACTTGCAGAGGTAGTTGTCACCCTAACCACTCATGCTGTTACTGTTGTCCCTGGGACCTCTAACCCAGTTGCTTCGGCAACCTGTGAACAGCTCGCAGACCTATACTCCACTCATTTTCCTAAAGTGCTAGCTGACATTGGGGTATCCTAAGATTTTTATACTGGGATAGATATTACTGTTGTACCAGATTTGAATGTTGGAGACTAACCAATAGATGACCTCTTCTTGGAGCGGCGGGGTGATGGAGGCAGCTTTGGTTTGTCTAGCAAGATCACCTCGCCTGCCCACCTCCTCACGTCCACACAATCGAACTCCACTAGGCAGTCGTCCTCGGGGAGGTTCGTCGTCCTCAAAACTTCAGTCGTTTTGTAAGTCTCCCCCTGCGATCCAGGCTAGCAGTGGTGTGAGAGAGTCCCCATAGCCCGCAGGGAGGGTTTCTTTTCTAAGTTATTGGGTTTCTTCTGAAGCTACCCCCCTCCTTGCCCGCATCCAGGCACTGCACCCTAGCACTTTCACTGCTTTTAACGTTCCTGGATCTATGGTGCAGACAGCGCTGCTCGAGTCACTTGTAAGCATCATTCGCGACCTCACTACTAAGAAGATTCTAACAACCCCCAGCAAGTTCGTGGAAAGTGCTGAGGCCAACCTGAGTGGCTTTGAAAGAAATGGTTTGGACCTATCATGGATGAGGGATAGTGTTCAGGAAGTCGATGGCTTCCTTGAGCATGCAGACAATGTGGCAATGATTGCATCCTTGGAGGAGACTATCAAGGAGTGTGGGGTGCCTTGGAGAAGCACCGTCAGAACCTAGCTCGATTCAAAGAAAAGGACTCCACGCTGGTTGCTCAGTTGCCTCGGGATGTGACCCTAATGGACTCCCTCATGAAGGGCTTGATTTGATGTATTGTGGCTCTATTATGGCTCTTTTTCTTTGTACTTTTGCTATCTTTTTTCTTTTTTCTTTTCCTTTTGAACACTATGGTCATTCTATGGAGAACTTTGATGTTTGTGAGAAGCAAAGATATTGAGCCTTACTTTACTGCCTTCCTTTCACTGTCTTTTACATAACTTCTAAAGACAAGCAAAACTCGGGCCATGAATAGAACTTCATCACGACTAAGCTTTTCACATGGACAAAATTTCACAAAGTATGGAAACTTTCCTTGCACTAAGTGTTCACAATAGTGACAGGTTTACTAAATGTATGACGCTTTCTTTACACTTTGCTTTGGAAGTATTAACAAATAAACTTGCAACTCTTTTTTTTTTTTTTTAACAAAATAGATTAAGGAAAATATTCTGACATACTTGGCGTTGATAGGGCCAGTTCTGAACCCATCATCTACTCTTGTCAACCTGTAATACCCGCTGTTGCTTGTAGGGGCCTTCCTATCTGGGTGAGAACTTGGGGATTGGTTGCCCCCCCCCCCCATGATTGCGTCCAGTGTCTTCCACACCATGTCCCCATCATTGAACTCCCTGTGTTGAACAAACTGATTGTAGGCGCGAGCTATGGGCTTATGAGACTTTTCCATTACCCGCGAGGCCCGATCCCTTCTTTCTTCGGCTGTCTCTATGTCATTCTTTCTGATGTCTACCCGCGAGGCCCGATCCCTTCTTTCTTCGGCTGTCTCTATGTCATTCTTTCTGATGTCTGGAACTAAGTATGTGGACATCGCCATTCTTGCTGAGGGTACTACCAACTCAATTGGTAACACAACTTTGGACATATATACGAGGGAAAATGGGGTTTCCTAAGTTGGTCTCCTCTTTGAAATCTATACACCCAGAGTGCTACATAGAGTTGTTGAGACCATGTGCCCCCTGCTTCATCCATCATTTTACTCAATATTCAGATGAGAGTTTTGCTGGTTGCCTCAGCTTGTCCGTTCTCGTGCGGGTTGTACGAGGTAGACTTGTGGTTCTTGATTTGATAAGTGTCCAACAGTCTTCCCACATGGCGGTTCACAAAGGGGGTCCCATTATCAGACAACATCACTTTGGATATGCCCAACCTACAGGTTATGTTTTCTTTGATGAAGTTGGCCATTGCCGTCCCATCTGCATTTCTCATCGGTATAGCCTCTACCCACTTGGTACTAACTTTAGTCACTGCAAGTATTCGTCTGTGGCCTTTGGATTGCTGAGCTATAGGACCTACCAGGTCAAATGCCCAAGTATGAAACGAGTAAGGGGTCTTGATGTTGTGCAGTTCAACTGCCGGAGCATGTATCAAATTTCCAAATTTCTGGCAGGATTGGCATCTCCTTACAAAGTTTTTAGCATCTTCTTCCATTGTCAGCCAGTAGTAGTCGAGGTGAATAAGGTGCCCATATAATCGCCGGGCTCCTTAATGCTCTACCTTGTGGGCTTCTTTCAGCACTTCGTTTGCCTCATCCTCTGATAAACACACCAAAGGTTCCTCTTCAAAGCTTCTACGGTACAACTTGTCTTGGTCAAGGAAAAAAAGGGCCCGCCTCTTAACTCTAATTGCATCGGCTTTGTTCTCAGGCAGTGTGCCATTTCCAAGATAGCAACTGTAGACGGCGCCCGCGTGGGCCTCGCTGCTACAGTTCGGACTCGATTTGTGTCACGGTTCTTAATCTGAACCAAAGAGTCCAAATCTGGCAAATCGTTTTGAGAAACAGATTTTTGAAAAAGTAGTGCCAAACATGGACTGCTTTGCCAGATACAGAGTCGCCACCTAAATATTTTTTGTGGGAGAATTTAGGAAACCCTGACTCGGTGCCGAAGGCCGAAATCTATAC